CGTCTATAATGGACTACAGGAAGAAAATAAAGAGTTTTACGAAGTGTTGCTAGGCATATAATAGGCAAGGACTGGCTTGACTGGGTTATGAGATAAAATCGATCTGGTGCACGGATCTGGGCACGGATCACTCGTCCCACGTGCTTTCCGTGTTCGTTTAGCTTGAGTGGATTTGTTGATGCAAGCCACCTGTATCTCAAGAAACAATTGAGCCGAAGATTTTGTCTTTCGTCAATGAGCAAATCAAGCTCATTGTTAAGAAATGGAATGACATAATTGTCTCTTATCGACATTCTCAACTGTCGAAATACCATACTGTAGTAAAAGTACAGATAGATAGATACCTGAGCTTGTGGATATGCCTCGCCTTATTATGCAAAGTGACGGTACCTAATCTTAACGGGGTCGCATTCTGAAAGATATACTCCGTAACTAGACCCGCAAGAACATGCCATCAACAATAACCAGCTTTGAACTAGCTTCAAGGTTGCTCCCCACCACGCTCCTACGCCGTGCTCGACCATGTCTATCATCGCAAGCGCTTTCCTCTTCCCCTCTCGCGCGCAAGTATTGGATATGGCTTGATGTCGTGGAGTATCTTTTGCTTCTCTTCCTTCTACGTTATATTTTCCATTCGTATACAAGTCAAATATTCGATTTGAACATAGTTTTGGTTACACTGCCTACCTCTGTATCCTATAGCATCTTTCTGGGCAGCACCTGGACAATCCAAGATCGCCGCTCGTTATTACCGAACCATCGACTCTTCTCTATTGTGTCTCGTCCCTCTGTCATCATAAACTCTCTGGATTAGCTCGTCAGCGTCCTTGCGCACACAATGGCCGTGCAAGGCGGCGGGGGATGGGCTGGAGGAGAGGACGTGTATGCTACAGTTCGTCCACCACTATCCTCATGACGAGTCACATTCGCGCCAATATATGTCTAACCACGCGCGTTATTAGCTGTTGTTGACCGATACATACTTACCTGGTAAGATCCCCGACCTCAACTGGCTAGTAGTGCAACTTCTGATGCCGTGTCTCTAGGTGCGTTGGTTCTGGGGCATTCTCTGCGCGATGCCGCTACAACGAAGAAGCTGGTTGCGCTGGTCACCCTCGACACTGTCTCCGCCGAAGCCATCACTGAGCTCAAGGTGAGCTCGCCATGTTGATAAGTCGACAGCTGAATATTGCGCTGATCCCGTTCGCCAGTCCGTCTATCATTATGTTATTCCCGTGCCTCGAATCCTTAATGCGCAGCCAGCCAATTTACAGCTTATGAACCGAACCGATCTACACTCTGCCTTTACAAAGATCAACCTTTGGAAGCAGACTCAGTTTCGCAAGATCGTCTACATAGACGCTGATGTCGTCGCATATCGCGCCCCCGATGAGCTCTTCGACATCACACATCCTTTCTCGGCAGCCCCAGATATTGGATGGCCCGATCTATTCAACACGGGTGTCATGGTTCTGACTCCCAATATGGGTGACTATTATGCTATGATGGCTATGGCTGAACGGGGCATATCATTCGACGGAGCCGACCAGGGCCTCATAAACACGCATTTTCGAAACAATTATAATCGTTTAAGTTTCGCTTACAACGTGACCCCGTCTGCTCATTACCAGTACATACCCGCCTTCCGCCATTTCCAGTCAAGCATCAACATGGTCCATTTCATTGGTTCGGACAAGCCGTGGTTTCAGGGGCGGCATGCGAGCACCGGAAGCTCGCCATTTGACGAGATGATAGGCAGATGGTGGGCAGTCTACGATCGGCATTATCGGGCAGCCGTAAGTCACCCTTCACACTTTGAAATCATATATCGAATATCCTGCTTACTCTTTCCAAGTCGCCGCGGCCCACGTCCTTGGCATCTACCCAACCTCACAGCTTAATGCCGGCTACCAAACCTATTCCAGAACTCGTCCAGTACCTAACCAAGGGAGAATACCAGCCCAGAAGCTCGCATATAGAGCCATTCAGTAAGCAACATAGCGATGAGCATCGTGGCCATGTGCATTACGAGAATCCCCCGACGACTCAATCTCAAGTACAGCACCATCACCATGACGCTTCCAGCTCTGTAGTGCACAGCCAGCACCACCATCCACATGATAATGCTCAATATCATGATATTCATAGCCACCAGGCTCCTTCGCCCCAAGCCAGCATGCAGCAGCATGAGTCCTCTAGTTTTGTTTCTAGCGATGCCGTTTCATCTTTAAGAAATAACGAGGACAATCAAGCTAAGGCTGGCGAAGAGCAGATTCGCGCTCAGGGATTGCCTCCACCCCCTGCTGAGGAAGAGCAGAAGCCCCCGCCATTCGAGCCCTCAATGTCGAGCTGGGACGCTCAAAGGTAGACCTTTCCATCCAGGAGACATGATGTATCAGTTGCTAACGGTATGATAGACAGCCGCCTCCAGCAGAGTCGAAGCCCGAGGCTATAAACTTCCCTGCTACAACATACGAAATGTCGACAAGCACGGCCCCCTTCATCCCCCCTCAGCATTACCCAAGTCCTCCAAAAGGCATGTGGTATGAGGTTCCGAAGGAAGCCCCAGCTGCTTCAGAACCGTTGAAACCTATCTTTCCTTGGGAGGCCAACCGACCTAAACCGTCTCGTATATTTGTCGACGAGGCTCCTCGAGTTACTCAAGAAGTGGGAAATCGCGATCCAGACGCGCCTTCCGGTGAGCAACAGCATGTCTTCGAGGCAGAACCAGCAGTTGAGTCTTCTGTAACAGAAAGTTCCACTGTAGAACAAAAGAGCGAGCCGGTAACGCCCGTTACCCCTACCATACAAATTTCGCTGGCTGATCCATGGACTTCATACTCGATGTCTAATGCATGGGATGAAGTACCGGAGATCGAGCGATATGTCGATACCATACAGAAGCATCAAAGGTCAAGGAGCCGTAAATCCCCTGGCACAATTAATTTGCCGAGTCCCGGTGAAAGCGTAGAGGACATCACACGGCCACGGCGAGGGAGCAAGCTAACTGACTTCCCAAGTGAAGCTGAGCGTCCTAGCCTGCCCGTTACACCTGCGCCTATCCATCGGCCATGGTTTTGGGGTGGTTCTCCAAGCACCAGCCAAGGCGACAGTGGTCCGCCACTGCCTGCCGCAGTGGGTGTTCCCGGTCAGAGCGATTGGGTATGTGTGCATGGCCGGAGATGGACTGCCTCAGACTGTCGTTGCTAATTCGCTAACGCCCTGCGCGTTTCACAAGGATCCTATGGCACAGCTGCAAAAATTAGCTACGCAGCATAGCGAAGAACTTCTAAAAAGGCTTGATGGTGGTGGCCGGGACAGCGAACTACCGCTTCGGTCTGCGCCTTTGGGCTCTGAGGCGCTGGTGTCGCCAACTTATGTGGCGCGGTCAGCCCAGGTACTGAGCCCACAACCGGTAAAAGGAAGTGCGAACTCAAGTTCTGTGCTCGACCTCGTGACAGATGAGGAGATAGCGCCTGAAGTCATTGCTCCCTTACTTTCAGGGGAGAAGAATGTATTCAGCGAACCAGGTCCTACTTTAAGTTTGGAACGAGGAGAATCCCCGGGCTCACCAGGCTCACCAACAGCGTCATAACAATACCTGTCATGTCAGTCGCTACTTATTTCTCATTGTTTGATCAAGCAGTGTGTTTCCACCTCCCCAGGAGCATTGTAAAATGCAGATGGCATTTTAAAGGAGAAAATGTGAGTGTTGGTCTGGATAATGATGACACCTGTGAGGGAAACGATGCGAAGAGTCCGTAAGCCACACTGGAAGTCATAGATCAGTATTGTTCTGCCTTCTCGCAGCGGGAAATGCAACAACGAGGCCGACAGCATCATGCCTACCTACCCATGCAAGAGTACTGTTCTTCTCCCGGGGCTTTATGTCCCTGTTCTCGGCTTGAAAATTCTGCTATTGAGTATCTCATTCAAACAAATGTTATAATTTCGGTATCTCTATATTTTTTTTCTCCTTTATCTACTTCGATGCATTTCCGGGTGCTTATTTCTTTTCCCCCTTCATATACTGCTGATCAGCATTTTCAGTGAGAGCGATATGATTTGTAGCATGTCATATCATGGAGGTTTTTTGTTTCAACGTTATGTTGTTTAGGATGAGAGCGAAAACTTAACCTTTTTCGTTTGTTGTTTTTGTTGCTCTGTTCATGTGTCTGTCGTCTTTTTGGTCGTGTTATTTGATGACTTTATTGTATACTACGCATGTATGTATGTGTATGTTTATTATATATCTATGTTCGTGAAGTTACAAATCTCTTAATCGTGTCGCTGTGCCTTGTACGCGATAGTAACATGTCGTAGGTATGTATGTAGAGCATCTTGGTGAACTTATTTGAGGAGACCAATGTATCGTTGGACGTCATCATAGCATTGGCCCTCTTCATTTTGCTCTGCTGCCTTTCCTTCGTCTTCTTTTCCCGCTTATGATTATTTCACGCTGTTCTTCGCGACCACTGAGAGATGTTTTTCAGACAGTTAACATGTGCATCAAAACACGCGGGTCCATATTTGCGATTTACATTGTGTCTAAGAATATGGTGGAATAATGATTGTATGTATATATATTCCCAGGCACTGTTTCTTGTGGCCGCACTTCCCTCAAAAGCATTATCTACCAGCTCCTATTTTCTTGACATAGTCGTATCTGATTTAGATTCCCAAGAAGTTGTCAATGCTTTTACCAAGTGTCATCCCGAAACCGCGAATCGGAGCTCCGGATATCATATGAGCGGCAGATCATAGACCCAGCTACCCTAACCGTGTTTGCCCGATCGCAAGAACAGACAATACAGAGCGAAACGGGCAAGATCAAGCCCTAGTAGATTATTGCGAATATTCTCCCAAGCCGTGCACGGTGGTCATATGATCTGGAGGTTCTAGCTCACTGGGCATTTATCCAACCCACTGCGACTAGAAATAAACAAAAGGTGATTATTCCTTTCCGATGAGGGTAGACAAGGATGAGAAACATAAAAAGTTGACCTCGCTGGGGGTCGAACCCAGAATCTCCTGATTATCTTTGAATGATTTATGGATCACCATCGTAGTCAGACGCCTTGCCATTGGGCCACGAGGCCATTTATTGTTGGAAATGCCACCCTCAGGACTGACTCAAGTCTGGCAAAGTCGGATGGGTTTCGCGTACTAGGATGGAAGATTTGGCGGGAAAGCCTCCACGACTGAAGGTATTGATCACTAGGCGGTCCGATTTCGCACCAGCCGGTTGCAATCTGAAGAAAACTGAAGATGTCTCGCGCGATGTAGATCGTGGCTTAATGCTGTTGTGCTCTGCTTATCTGCAAATGGGGTTACATCAATGAATAGTTGGCGCAACAGGTTCTGAGACTTTTACTTCAACGGGTTATGATGCTCATCACTTGCTTGAGAGCAAAATACGAAGGCAATGTCTCCGTTACCCGTACCTTGATACATGCCAAATGAAGTGTACGACTCTGCGAAAACTTGTACGAAGTGTCAGTTTTTAGCTCATCTTCTCGTGGGAAGAGTCTGTTCGAGGCTTTAGTGCCCATCTCATCAATGTTGACTTTATCGTTATCTTGATCGGCAGAATTAGCTATACAAGACGCAGGAGAAGCAAGACTACTTGAACATATAAACTATAGATCCTCTAGTCTGGCCAAAGAAGAAGTGTAACCTTTACTGCCCCCTGAACGGCCTAAAAAAATACTGCAACTCGAATATTTTTCCAAGCCGGTGTTACAATCTCCTGTTAGCTTATATCAAAATTATTCCACACAATATGTCGCCTTGGTGAGCATCTAACACGTCTAATGGTTATGCGATTCACGTCGGGCTGTACCAACTGGGATCGAGGCAGTGTCCTGGGGAAAACGCTAACATTGTCTAAATATGATACCGCAACCTCGATCTCGTTCACAGCTTTATTCATCACTTTCATTGCATCCCGGTTCTGTTTTATCTCGTCATTTATTTTTCATCAGTGTTACGCAACTGCTGAACCGCGGGACGGGCTGCATCACCAACGTTCGGCTATTTTACGGAACGCAGCGTCAGCTTCATACGCCTTTCGGATGCTGGTTCTTATGCAATCAGCGTGGCGCCGACGAGCCAAGCGACGCCTTTATAGAGCATTGTCTCTGGTAGCATTCAGCCTTATCTGCATTATCGCATTTACCGCCGCAAGCGGTCTGTCATCGTGGATCACCAAGGCCCCCGGTGAAACGCTTCTAATTCGGAGCCCGACCTGTGGGTACGTGGCCCCCGATCAGAATCTTGAGTCTTCCGAACAGCTTGGCGCGTTGTCGGTCTTAGACCCATACTTTGCCAACCAAGCAGTCCAAGCCAAGACCTACGCGGAGCAATGCTATCTGTCCAACACCGTTGGGCTTTGGAACTGTGTTGGATTCGTACAAGACCGCCTCGCGGCAACGATCTAATAACGCAGACGATCTGTTCGACGACGACATCTGCGTCAGTAAAAAGGGAAACCTTGTCCTCGATAGCGGTTTTATCGACAGTAATAAAGATCTAGGCCTTAATGCCCCTACCGACTCTCGAATACAGATCAGAACAGTCCTTCAGTGCGCGTCTCTCAAGACTCGAGGATACAGTGATCAGTTCACTCATGAGACCGGCAACTTCACTAGGTATCTGTATGATGTGGGCGCAGAGATGAGCGACACGCGGAACTCGACAGACACGAACAATAGACGGGATGTAACAGATATACAGTGGATGTATAAGGTCAAGGACTTGGCCAGGTAGTATAGTCTACCGCTTCAACGCCTCGGCTACGAGGGAGTTCCCGGAACAAGAATTGTCTGGCAAAAATGTACCAGTAAAGTTCCCGTCACCGAGTCTGACGTCTTGATGGACACTCCGACGTTTCTGATTCTGCTCGCCCGACCCTCGCTCGGGTTGGTTCGATGAGCAGAGATAGCCACACGGGAAGGCCTTCCGAAAGCCCCCCATGAGTCTGTAATTAGTCGAGAATTGAGTGGCTTAACACTCTAAAGGTCGTTTTTTCTTTCACGTGAACAAGTGTGGGGGCAGTTGTATTAAAGAGGTCCTAGTCATATTACTGTTTTGCGCGAGACTAAAGCTCAGCTACACCACACTTTCTCTAAAGTTAGCTAGCAAGATTATGCTTCAAGGTTGAAATCAAGGAAGTGCAGAACCCTATAATACAATGTCTCACTGGCAAATGGTACTTTTCATGGTTGGTGTAGGTAAGGATGAGTCAAGTACGGGAAGGAAAGTGGCCTACGATCATAGATCTACTGCTAGGGCGGCGCGAACACGAATATAAGCTCAACTTCGCCCTGCAGATCTGAATACTAAATGCCTGCCAATCGGCCCGGTTTTGCGATCTCCAGGTTTTGGTGATGGGACCGCTAATGAGCTCGCAATGCATAGTTCGGCATATGATAATAACTTGAACTTAAGACTTCAGCGATGCCTTCATTTGCGCGAAGACTTACAATAGCGAGATTTTGTGTAGACTTAACATTTGTCATGCGCTTGACTTCCGGTTTTGGCAATTTGCTCGATTATGATTGGATAGTCGCGGGGTAGTATACTGTACCCTTATATTATAAAGAAATCGAGTTATATGATGCGAAGCTTTTGGAAAGATCTATTCACGATGAGCAGCATGTGAAAAGGAATAATTAACCTAAATGTTTAACTATCCATTTTCTCGGCAACGATTATATCCGAATATTCTTGAACCAAGGATCCCTGTGGTTACTAGCCATCGTTGATCGATAGTCTAAATGGAGGATTCTAGTCAAGCACTAAGTTCATACTTATTTAACTAGTCGGTGTTTGTTTAGCTCAGGCTTCATCATGTCTAACAGAACCGGAGTCATGGCCAGGTTCTTGCGATGCTTCCGATGTGTAGCGTCAGGTGTTCTAAGTGAGATTGTGCTCATATGGGCGGGCTGCCTGGAAGAGCGGAGACAATGATTTCACTGCTAAGCTAAGCAGTACTTACCAATAGAGTCTTCACGTTATCAGAATTATGAATAATTATTAGTGTGAGAAGAACGCAACTTACAACTCCAAAGGCGTGTTCTGACCATTTTGAACAAAGTTGCACACCAGGTTCTATAACAACATACGCCAGTAAGCGATAACTAATTGTTTTCTCGAGATTCAAGCATGTCACAAATAAAATCGTGTTCAGTGGAAAGCCATCCTTAACTTAATTCAAATTTAGGGGTTTATTATAGCGCTATGAATATCGGGCATGAGTATATAGACAAATTTCGTCTTTTAAAGTAGAATGGGCCTTTTATTCTTAGCAATATTTTGTCTAGAATTGCCGATAAGTATAGAAAAGGAGTATTGCGCCTACTTGGGTATTAATAGAACATACGGCTTTTGATCAGCTAAGGTTATAAATCTTGGGTCCAGAACGAATCTTCAGTCTGATAATCAACGGATATAACAGTGTTCTTCTGGATTTCTTGAATCGCTTAGCTAATTGATGTAAATCCAGCTACATAGAAAGTCTTTGGCATTAGTTCATGGATTAGAAAAGACACGATAGTAGACTGTACACGACCACTTGGTTAATATGGTGTGATTCTGTGAACCTAATATGCCAAATATATAATTAAAATTCTCAATTCTGCGTACGGTCGTCACAGAGTTGGTTTTAAAACCTCCAAGAGTGTAAATTTTGGAATTTAGAAATGGAAGCCTCCGTGACCCACCCCAAAGTAATACATCTTGGTCTACATTCACCGGAAACGGCGATTGTCTTAGTTCCTGCCTACCAAATAATACACAAGGTGTGTTCCTTTATTCAATTTTAATATTTTTCGTGTTTTCGTTAGAGAGCCATAATTTTCATTGGTCAATGTTGAAATGGAAACCCCGGTCGGTCGGGAGGCCCCCCTTTCGTTGCAGGATTATCGCCGGAAAGCCAGAGAGCTGGAGCGCGAGGCGAGAGATGCCATTTCGACGTCGAGAACATGGAATTTTGAGAGGCTTCTAGGCCACGGCAGCTCCGGTGTGGCCATGTTGCTAGTGGAAAGGGATCTTTTACGTTCTCACCGTCCAAGAAGAGCAGTCCTCAAGCTGCCGTTGGAAACAGCCGGCGGAGACGACGATCTTATCCGAGAAGCGCAAGCACTTGATGTAAGACAACATTCGGTTTAATTGTTGTGCTCGTTATGTTAACCCAAGTTGCAGGTCCTGCGCGGGCATGCGCATATCGCTCAACGAATTAGTTTTACCCAAGATGTATCAAGTTTTCAGCCGACAGGTGGGAGAATTAGGCGTACTTTACGGCGTGTGGTGAACGCCATTAGAAACCCCCCTGATAACTTATTTATTTATCTGAGCCGTTTAAACCGGAGTGATCGCCCGGCGCTACTATTGGAGTACCTAGAAAACGGGAACTTAATCAAAGTTGTAGAACATATATACTATCGCCGCATCCAATTGCCCAACAGGCTCCTTTGGGGCTGGTATCACTGCTGTAAGATAATTTCCGCTTCTCGCCTGAGAGAATCACGAATATAATGTGCTGACTAAAAGCAAGTGGTGAGCGCTTGTGTTGCAATGACATACAAAAGGGGAGGCCCTGAAAACCGGCATGTGGACTTAGAAGCGCCTCAGAGGGATCACGAACATTTACGACTTATTCACAATGACATTGCCTTCAGAAACGTTGTGATGGACGATATCGACCCCCTAGTCCAGGAGCGTAAGTATTCTCAACGTTCATCGCCCCTCTCCCCCCTAAGTTGATTCCCTTGTATTATCTAATAGTTACTGACTTTTGGATGCTTAAAAGACCGAGCAACTCCAAAATTAGTACTAATCGACTTCGGAATGGCTCGACAAGCACTTGACGCGAGAGATGCCGAGAATGATAATCTAGAGGCGGTTAATATGGTAGGTTTCTACTTTGTAGCGCGGGTTTAAAACTCTTACTAATGAATAAAAATCACAGTTAATGTTAGACTTGATTGATCCATCGATGAATATCAATAACCAAGGTTTCTATCCGATTGAATCGACCAACGGCTTTCGAACAATGGCAGCAGGTCTCTTTAACAAAGCTCGACTTCCTTTGCTGGAC